TTCACAACCAGCAGACTTTAAAGCTTATAACTAGCCTACTATGTTAGAGTGAAGCTTCAAATAATTGTTAGACGGGAAGTATTGACTGGTTTCAGTAGATGCAGCTGTGATTTGGTGGTTTCAGAAGAACTGAAAAATGAGTGGTTAATTGGTTGGATTGTTGGATACAAGATAAAGGGACACAAAATGCCACAAATTTGGTCGATTTTGGTTGAATCATGGCAGACAAATCAATGTTATTAATAACTTACAGTGCCCCTATCATGCTATTTTAAAGGTTCCCTGATTTGTGTTTGAGTCTCCTACAATATGTTTAAATGCATTAAGTTCAAAAACAAAACAATGTTCTCATAATATACATTGCAGCATCACGTCTTTTCTCACAGTGTCTGAAACAGTTCGATAAAGGATCTGGTCATTCTAAACCCCTCCTCCTACTCTGCTCTGATTTGTCAGATGGCCCAGTCTGCTGTGATTGGTCTACTCTGCTCTGATTGGTCAGATGGCCCAGTCTGTTGTGATTGGTCTACTCTGCTCTGATTTGTCAGATGGCCCAGTCTGTTGTGATTGGTCTACTCTGCTCTGATTGGTCAGATGGCCCAGTCTGTTGTGATTGGTCTACTCTGCTCTGATTTGTCAGATGGCCCAGTCTGTTGTGATTGGTCTACTCTGCTCTGATTGGTCAGATGGCCCAGTCTGTTGTGATTGGTCTACTCTGCTCTGATTGGTCAGATGGTCCAGTATGTTGTGATTGACCTACTCTGCTCTGATTGGTCACATGGCTCAGTCTGTTGTGATTGGTCTACTCTGCTCTGATTTGTCAGATGGCCCAGTCTGTTGTGATTGGTCTACTCTGCTCTGATTGGTCAGATGGTCCAGTCTGTTGTGATTGGTCTACTCTGCTCTGATTGGTCAGACAGCTCAGTCTGTTGTGATTGGTCTACTCTGCTCTGATTTGTCAGATGGCCCAGTCTGTTGTGATTGGTCTACTCTGCTCTGATTGGTCAGATGGCCCAGTCTGTTGTGATTGGTCTACTCTGCTCTGATTTGTCAGATGGCCCAGTCTGTTGTGATTGGTCTACTCTGCTCTGATTGGTCAGATGGCCCAGTCTGTTGTGATTGGTCTACTCTGCTCTGATTGGTCACATGGCTCAGTCTGTTGTGATTGGTCTACTCTGCTCTGATTGGTCAGATGGTCCAGTCTGTTGTGATTGGTCTACTCTGCTCTGATTGGTCAGACAGCTCAGTCTGTTGTGATTGGTCTACTCTGCTCTGATTTGTCAGATGGCCCAGTCTGTTGTGATTGGTCTACTCTGCTCTGATTGGTCAGATGGCCCAGTCTGTTGTGATTGGTCTACTCTGCTCTGATTTGTCAGATGGCCCAGTCTGTTGTGATTGGTCTACTCTGCTCTGATTGGTCAGATGGTCCAGTCTGTTGTGATTGGTCTACTCTGGTGTGATTGGTCAGATGACCCAGTCTGCTGTGATTGGTCTACTCTGCTCTGATTGGTCAGATGACCATGTCTGTTGTGATTGGTCTACTCTGCTCTGATTGGTCAGATTACCCTGTCTGTTGTGATTGGTCTACTCTGCTCTGATTGGTCAGATGACCCAGTCTGTTGTGATTGGTCTACTCTGCTCTGATTGGTCAGATGGTCCAGTCTGTTGTGATTGGTCTACTCTGGTGTGATTGGTCAGATGACCCAGTTGGTTGTGATTGGTCTACTCTGCTCTGATTGGTCAGATGACCCAGTATGTTGTGATTGGTCTACTCTGCTCTGATTGGTCAGATGGTCCAGTCTGTTGTGATTGGTCTACTCTGCTCTGATTGGTCAGATGGCCCAGTCTGTTGTGATTGGTCTACTCTGCTCTGATTGATCAGATGGTCCAGTCTGTTGTGATTGGTCTACTCTGCTCTGATTGGTCAGATGGTCCAGTCTGTTGTGATTGGTCTACTCTGCTCTGATTGATCAGATGGTCCAGTCTGTTGTGATTGGTCTACTCTGGTGTGATTGGTCAGATGACCCAGTCTGTTGTGATTGGTCTACTCTGCTCTGATTGGTCAGATGACCCAGTCTGTTGTGATTGGTCTACTCTGCTCTGATTGGTCAGATGGTCCAGTCTGTTGTGATTGGTCTACTCTGGTGTGATTGGTCAGATGACCCAGTCTGCTGTGATTGGTCTACTCTGCTCTGATTGGTCAGATGGCCCAGTCTGTTGTGATTGGTCTACTCTGCTCTGATTGGTCAGATGGTCCAGTCTGTTGTGATTGGTCTACTCTGGTGTGATTGGTCAGATGGCCCAGTCTGTTTTGATTGGTCTACTCTGCTCTGATTGGTCAGATGGCCCAGTGTGTTGTGATTGGTCTACTCTGCTCTGATTGGTCAGATGGTCCAGTCTGTTGTGATTGGTCTACTCTGGTGTGATTGGTCAGATTACCCTGTCTGTTGTGATTGGTCTACTCTGCTCTGATTGGTCAGATGGTCCAGTCTGTTGTGATTGGTCTACTCTGCTCTGATTGGTCAGATGGTCCAGTCTGTTGTGATTGGTCTACTCTGGTGTGATTGGTCAGATGACCCAGTCTGCTGTGATTGGTCTACTCTGCTCTGATTGGTCAGATGGCCCAGTCTGTTGTGATTGGTCTACTCTGCTCTGATTGGTCAGATGGTCCAGTCTGTTGTGATTGGTCTACTCTGGTGTGATTGGTCAGATGACCCAGTCTGTTTTGATTGGTCTACTCTGCTCTGATTGGTCAGATGGCCCAGTCTGTTGTGATTGGTCTACTCTGCTCTGATTGGTCAGATGGTCCAGTCTGTTGTGATTGGTCTACTCTGGTGTGATTGGTCAGATTACCCTGTCTGTTGTGATTGGTCTACTCTGCTCTGATTGGTCAGATGGTCCAGTCTGTTGTGATTGGTCTACTCTGGTGTGATTGGTCAGATGACCCAGTCTGTTGTGATTGGTCTACTCTGCTCTGATTGGTCAGATGACCCAGTCTGTTTTGATTGGTCTACTCTGGTGTGATTGGTCAGATGACCCAGTCTGTTGTGATTGGTCTACTCTGCTCTGATTGGTCAGATGACCATGTCTGTTGTGATTGGTCTACTCTGCTCTGATTGGTCAGGGGCACGTTCAAGTTCAAAACGGTGCGCAACGTTTTGCTACGGTTTCTGGGTTGAACGTCATGTTTCCTGGAAACGGCGTGCACCGGTGTGCAACGGGGTTTGAGATGCGTTTTCTCTTGTTTGGTGGGTGTGTCAGAACTGCAGTCCAATCAGCAGCAACAGGTATATAAAGCACGCGGTATTAAAGTGAACTCACACAATGGGTTCAAGGAAAGTAATTTACAAATGTGTTCGATGCAGCTCGGTATACGCAACAACTGAGGATATTAGATGACATGTTTGTCGTAAGTTTTATTGTAAAAATATAGGATATCAACATAATGATGTAGTTGTTTATATTTTTAGCTTCATTGCAAGTGTATGACATTTGGTAAATAAACAATGGTAATTAAGTGCTTTTCCTAAAAATGAGAAAGTAAATACAGGGTATTAAAACAGTATGAACTACAAATAAAGTCAGTATGTGAGGCTAAATAGATGTGTTTTAGTCTGAATTAGGTAAGATGTGTGCTTCCATTTCAGTTTCCACAAATCCCTTCACTCGATTGGGATGTTCTCTTGTGTTCTGGGCGGCAAGTGCAGTGACTGTAACATCGGGCATATTTTGTTATATTAAACACATATTTATATCGACTTCATCAGGCTCCGAGAATTCTTCACAAAGAACACAAAGAATGGCCTTCTCAGCTGCCATAGTTGCAACTCTTGAGGGTGGGTGAGGACCATTTGTTTTGTGCAGGAAGTAAAACTGGAATTACTGACAACTCATTTCAGGCAGTTCAGAATCAGCTCAGTTCAGAGACAACTCTGTTTATCTGTACTTTGAAACTTTGCAGATCTTTTACTTTCAGAAACAGCTATATTACACACTACGTGAAAGGTAATATCCAAAAAAAGCTTTATAGGGGCACTTTTAATTGTTTCCTTTGTACTTTTATTTAACTTGCTGTTTAAGATTGATACACAAATGCGTAATGATGCATCATTTTTATGTCATCTTTAGCACATCTAAAATTGTTCATCTGTTGCATTTCATGTTTAGATAATTTTTATAATAAATGAAACTTTTTCTAATTATGTTGAGCTCTAAAATATTTTATCTGTAGAAATTGTTATTTGTGAGTAATATATATATATATATATATATATATATATAGACCTGTAAATAACAAATGACTAGAAAACTCATGGAAATTCATTGGTAATTAAATGAGAAAATTCAGCTATTGAAACTTCTTTTGAAAATGATGATTTTTGTAATTATTTAAAATTATTTTAATATACTGCCACTCCTAGTTTCTGTAAAGAACATGAGCACCTTTGCCATTAAAGCAGAAGTACCAGAAATATAGTAGTGCTGGCTGGTGGAGAGAAGTGTTATTTTAGCATCAGTGATATACTATTATAGTTTTGATTAATATTTTAATTTAGATTTTATTTTCTGTTTTCACTTTAATTTTAGTTAAAGTTTTAGTATTTTTGTTGTATTCTTTTAGTTAGTTTATTTATTTATTTTAAGTGAACCTAGATAAAAATTTGAAATGTTGCCTAGCTGAAAAATGAACGTTTTTTTAAATATTCTATTTTATTTCAGTTAATGTTTATTTCATGTATTGAAAATGTTTATAGTTTTAGTTTTAGTTAACGATAATAACCCTGATTAAAAGTCCTTGAGAATTACACTATTTTCTTGATTGTATAAATTGGTAATTGCAATTTTTGAATTGTATGTTTTTCTGGTAATTAATACTGATTGTCACATATGTGCTGCATTTCTATAAGATTTTGTCAATATGTTGCAATTTAATGTGCACAGTAAATAATCCTCATGTCATCCTCAAACCCTGACCTCATCCATCCCCCTTTTCCTTCAAGGCCTCCTGACCTCTATCAGAGCATGTCCACCATGGTTTACCCCCATGAGGAGCGACTCGAGAAGCTGACGCAGGAGGAGATCATCTCCAGCACTAAACTGGTGATCCAGGGTCTGGAAGCTCTCAAGAGCGAGCACAACTCCATCCTGCATAGTCTGCTGGAGACCATCCAGTGCTTAAAGAAAGATGAGGAGGCCAGTTCAGTTCACGAAAAGTCCAACCTTCTGCGCAAGTCAGTGGAGATGATTGAGCTGGGCCTGGGTGAAGCACAGGTGAGGGACTGCTCCATCATGGGGTCCTCGGGGGGAATGGGTATTGTGAATACCACTGAATGTGCAGAAGCTCTGTTATTAGCATGTGTTACTGACTAACAACTTAGGGGCCAGACTTACTAAACAGGGCAAATTAGCACGAGACAGCATACCCATAAATCCGCCAAAGTTCTGCAGCTGGTCTATTGATGATTCGCAAATTAAAGAAAACAAACGCAGCCAGGGGTCTCATTTATAAAACTGTGCGTAGGATCCTTACTAAAAGTGTACGTGCGCCCGAAAGCCAAAAATGGCGTACGCTAAAAAATATTCAGACTTATAAAACGGCAGAACCTGCGCAGAATTCACTTTATAAATCCCAGTCAGCGGAAGATTGTGCGCACATGCGTCTCCACCCCGAAATAACCATATATGGAGATTATAACGCCTAGTTTTACTATGCATATCCTCATCTGCATATCATTTGCATATGATTATTCATCCACGTGATACCATGTTTAACGATACAAGATATTAGGAAAATATGAAATACGGATGTGCCGTCACATTAGGCTACATTAATAAAAATCATAAGCCTTGCCTTGTTTTTGAATAAATAAATCAAATAGTGTAAAATACATTTCAGAGAAAGTTTCTCAATCTCACTGGCCAAATAGTATTTTTAATTGATTATATTTTTAATGGAAACAGATAGACCTTGTGGATTATTTGTACGAAACTATTTTCTCAGACAATCTGCTATTATCATGATAAGCAATTATGTATGTAAAACATTAAAACACAGAATGCCAGAGGAAAAGTGTTCAAAAGCATTGCATCCACAACAAATATATTTCTCTATTTATTGAATATAAAAAAATGTTGTAACTTCTCAGTAATGATTTCATGTAGTTTAAGTGTTTAACTCCATTAATGGGAATGGCATATTTAATCTAAATGTTTATATCAAAAGTAAAACATAGTTTAAATATTTATTTTATTTATTTAAAGTGTCATTTTGAACATGCACTCTATTTATGATTATGACTCATAATAAAGATTTACGGTTTTACTTCATCTGCCGTTAGCTAGGCTAAATATGCAACATTTAAGAAGGGACGGATATTTGCTTCAAGTGATAGGCTTGGTGAGTGAAATTATATTTGTATTATCTTTCTGTATATGTATCATTTTCTTTAGCTTTTCTGTCTAAAAGTGACCAAAAAGACATTTAACTCCAACTCACCATCTGTGTCGCCAATTCCCTTTGTCTCCAGAATGTGCGTACGCACGGCTCAAAGTTTGCTTAAAGGTGCGCACATTCTCCCGTCAAGTTTGTTTTTCATAGATCACAACCTTTGCGTGGAAACTGGCGTACGTACGTTTCCAGCCCCGTTTTGTGCGTACGCGTCGCACGCTTTATAAATGAGACCCCAGATCCTTTCTATAATGACCAACACAATCTAACAAAAGGAGCACTAATTAGCGTAGGGTAGCAAACAAGCAGAGCCGATGATAATCAGGTGTGGGTAATCTACTAACAACGCAGGCACAGCAAATAAAAATAGCGTGGCTGGGCAAACTATGCGTTCGAATTGTGTCTCCCTCTGGCTTTCCAGATAAATGAACTCGAGTGGGGAAAGTTCTCTCTCTTCTATCTGTTTTCTGACGCTCCTTTTCGTACAGCAATAACACAGCATGTCAAGTGCAAAATGGGTTAAGATGTGTTTTTTTGGGCGTTAAGTACCAGTAAATTGACTAGCGCAAACCATAGTAAATCACGTTTTTAGGATTTATTTATGATTTACTTGCTACTGCTAATAGATACACACACACACACACACTGCTGTGAACATATAAGATCTGCTGCTGCTGCATGAATAGACACACATGAGTCCTGAATCAGATCTAGACAGGGGGAGCTGGGGAGGTGGAGGGGTTCAGAGGAACTAGCTTACAGCAAACACTGAGCCAGACTATTTAAATGTTCAGCAAGCGATCTCATTGGCTGCAGGATCAGCAGAGCCAATCAGCTTGTCCATGCGGATATGTGATTGCTTTGTAAATTGCATATTAAGGACTAATAATATATATATTACTATAAGTCGCACAGGGTCAAAATTGTATTGTTAAAAAAAAAAAAACATTTTATTACATTCAGTAATGATGTAAAATGGCGGTAAATAAAATGGTCAGTACAGTACAGCAATAAAATAAAGTATAGTGGCATTCATTATAAACAACATTTATTTTATGCAAAGCTTAAATTTCTTTGTGAAACTGAAACTAATGGCGTGTGGCAAATGCACTATACAAATAAACTCATGTACTTCTCTAATTCGGCACAAATAGGTGCGCTTTGGATGCTTTTCTGTCTTTACGTTAATTGCATTAAATACGTTGCCATTTCAGATGATAAAAACGCTACTTATATTATGGAAAGTACGGTACTGAAAATTTCCCTTTATCTTTGACAATTTGTTTTTCTTGTCGCATTTCATTCTGGGATTGCCTTATTGGTTTGTGAAAGGTTCATGTGATTTTGGCCAAAATTATATTGATGAGTTTATGAGGCATAATTTTGCTGCTTACTGTTTGTAACACCCTTCACATCAGGAGTGCGCTCACAGTATAATGCTTACTAAGGATTGAAACAAATACAATATGTCTTTTCTTCAGATTTGCTCGGCATGAAAAGACAGTGTGCTTTTAGAGGTAAAGTGTTACAGTAAGAGTTATCATAATGTGTTCAGGTGATGATGGCCCTGTCCAGCCATCTGAATGCCGTGGAGTCGGAGAAACAGAAATTGCGCGCTCAGGTGCGACGGCTCTGTCAGGAAAACCAGTGGCTGAGGGACGAGCTGGCAAACACTCAGCAGAAACTGCAGAAGAGTGAACAGAGTGTCGCACAGTTGGAGGAGGAGAAGAAACATCTGGAGTTCATGAACCAGCTCAAGAAATATGACGATGGCACCTCGCCAGAGGTGAGTCTTGCTATAGGTGATGAACAGCACACTGGAACAAGAACAACAGAAGAGTGCCATCATGTTCATGATCTAGGCAGGTGGAGCTGGGGAGGAGGAGGGGTTCAGAGGAACTCTGAGAGCTGATAGACTACTTTAATCTTCAGCCAGCGATCTCATTGGCTGCAGGATCAGCAGAGGCCAATCAGCTTGTGCCATGCGTTAGTGATGCGATTGCTTGCAGATTGCATCAGCCGGCGCCCTCTAGAGTTTCATGACTAACTATATAAGAAAAGGCACACTTTACAGTATGAAGGTTCATGATGCCAGACTCAACTTTCTGTGTCAAATAATTAAGTATTAAAACTACTAAAACTAAATAAAACCTGGTGTCATTATTCACATTTGTCTGTCCATTTAACAGGGTTCCCACGGGTCCTTGAAATCCTTGAAATTTTGTGAATATGAAAAAAAGATTTCAAGGCCCTGGAAAGTTTTTGAAAATCTATGACCATACATAGATACAGGTCCTTAAAAGTGCTTGAATTTATTTTGTACAAGAAGTTTTCTGTAAAAAATTCCATATTTTCTGGCAAACAGGACGTCCTCTCCTTTACTTCAGACTAATGGTTTTCATTTTTCTCTTTCTGCTGTGGGAGGATTTGAAGACATTATCTGTTCAAATGACAGTTGCCTCCAGCTTGTCATTTATATTTCATGAAACGATGTTTCGTGCTGTTACTTCCAGAATGAATGGAGCCATTAACATTTAGAGACTATAAAGACAGTCATGCATGGACAGAGATGCAATTGACTATAGAAATTCACAATGAATTTAACATTATAAGACAGCACAGACTGATTAAAAATAATAATTATGCCAAATTGAATATTTAAATGGTTTCAAACTGATTTTTTTTTCTTTGGTTTTGTTTTAGGAAGAGAAAAATAGTGAGGCTCCCAAAGATGCCCTGGACGATTTGTTTCCCAATGATGAAGATTACCAGGGTAAGGAAGTACAACATTTTATGAATATAATTAGTGGTGCTTGCCTATGGCGAAGCAACACTATTGTTATCTCACATACTTATTATTCTTATTAGTGGTGCTTGCCTATGGCGAAGCAACACTATTGTTATCTCACATACTTATTATTCTTATTCTTATTCTTATTAGTGGTGCTTGCCTATGGCGAAGCAACACTATTGTTATCTCACATACTTATTATTCTTATTCTTATTCTTATTCTTATTCTTATTCTTCTGGCCACTTTTTGACGCGCTACTCCTCCCGCAGTTTTTGTCACAGACCCATGAATGAGGTGTCAAAACGTGCGGCCTGTTCGGGAATGGTGTGCTATGACTTTTATAAGCGATCGGGGGTACGATGTTCGCCCCAGGGGCGAAAAACCGGCCGAAAAATCCCATAGACTTAACATTGCGTCAAACTTTGACGAGTCGTAGGTCGGAACGAGGATGTCGCAGAAACCTGTAATTTACCACATTTGAAGAGGCTGACAGGCTCTGTAAGAACATACCACACAATGGGGTAAAAGTTGCACCCCTGGGGGGCAGGAGGGGCCCAAAGTTGCCCCATTGACTTACTATGGTGTAGGACGGCCCATGAAATGGGCCGTCCTACACCATAGAAACCGCTTTTATATTGAACATAACTCTGGATCCCAGTGTCGTAGAGACAAAGGGGCGGGCTCATTTTACTCAGACGACCAATCAGTCTCTCAGGATCATTGTTAAGCTTTTAAGCCACGCCCTAGCAACCATTTAGAGCACCTTAGCAACAAGTTCCATAGACTTCCATTGAAAGAGATGGAAGGGATATCTCCGGATAGAAGTGTCATAGAAACACGAGGGTGGTCTCGTTTGACTCGGGGTAGCAAACAGCCAATCATGAATGACCTCAACACTTCCTAGCCACGCCCTAGCAACCATTGTCGAGCACCTTAGCAACCAAAATCCAAAGAGGGATATCTTCCATTCTGAATGTCACAGAGGCATGGGAGTTGGTTTATATCATTCATACTGACAAGCAGCCTTTGGAGTTTCATGATTGGCAGCTGCCAAGCCACTCCCTAGCAACCAAACATAGTACCCTAGCAACCATTTTGTAACAGCTATATCTCAGCATCAGAACATTGTATCACGATGGGGGTTGGTTTATATCATTCATACTGACAAGCAGCCTTTGGAGTTTCATGATTGGCAGCTGCCAAGCCACTCCCTAGCAACCAAACAGAGTACCCTAGCAACCATTTTGTAACAGCTATATCTCAGCATCAGAACATTGTATCGCGATGGGGGTTGGGTCTTTTGACTCATGTTAACACACAGGACTTTCAACATGCTAAACATGCTAGCTGTGAATAGCTACATGCTAATATCGATTAGTTAAGTGCTAAATGATGCTAGCAACATGCTAATCTTGCTAGTATCTGGCTACAAACATGCTAGCAAACATGCTAATCATGCTAGCATGATGCTAGCAACATGCTAATCATGCTAGCATGATGCTAGCAACATGCTAATCATGCTAGCATGATGCTAGAAACATGCTAATCATGCTAGCATGATGCTAGCAACATGCTAATCATGCTAGCATGATGCTAGCAACATGCTAATCATGCTAGCATGATGCTAGCAACATGCTAATCATGCTAGCATCTAGCTACAAACATGTTAGCAAACATGCTAATCATGCTAGCATGATGCTAGCAACATGCTAATCATGCTAGCATGATGCTAGCAACATGCTAATCATGCTAGCATGATGCTAGCAACATGCTAATCATGCTAGCATGATGTTAGAAACATGCTAATCATGCTAGCATGATGCTAGCAACATGCTAATCATGCTAGCATGATGCTAGCAACATGCTAATCATGCTAGCATCTAGCTACAAACATGCTAGCAAACATGCTTATCATGCTAGTATGATGCTAGCAACATGCTAATCATGCTAGAATGATGCTAGCAACATGCTAATCATGCTAGCATGATGCTAGAAACATGCTAATCATGCTAGCATGATGCTAGAAACATGCTAATCATGCTAGCATTATGCTAGCAACATGCCAATCATGCTAGCATGATGCTAGCAACATGCTAATCATGCTAGCATGATGCTAGAAACATGCTAATCATGCTAGCATGATGCTAGCAACATGGTAATCATGCTAGCATAATGCTAGCAACATGCTAATCATGCTAGCATGATGCTAGCAACATGCTAATCATGCTAGCATGATGCTAGCAACATGCTAATCATGCTAGCATCTAGCTACAAACATGCTAGCAACCTGCTAATCATGTTAGCATCATGCTAAAGACACGGTAGCATGATGCTAGCAACATGCTAATCATGCTATCATTATGCTTATTTTGTTAGCATCTTACTAAAAACTAGCTATACACACCCTAGCAACCGAGCGGCGAGTTTTGCCACTGCAAGCACCACTTCACATTTTCTTCTGGAAATGTACATTCTAGTGTTGTGATTACTATTCACCTAGACAAAACTTCGGCACGCTACTCCTCCCGCACCTTTTGTCGTAGACCCATGAGTGAGGTGTCAAATCGACCGGTTCATTGAGGAGAGGTGTGCTATGTCTTTTCTAAGCGATCGGTTGTACGATGTTCGTCCGGCGGGCGATAAATCGGCCGAAAAAAGTCCCATAGACTTAACATTGGCACAAAATTTGTGAGATCATATCTTTTCACCAGAAGGTCATAGAGACTTGGAGTTGGTCTCTTTTGACTCGGCCTATCAAGCAGCCAATAAGTAGTGACATAATAACTTCATGGCCACGCCCTAGCAACCACTTAGGGCACCCTAGCAACCATAAAACTACATTTACAAGCCATATTTTAGCTCCAGTTCGGCTTTTTTTGACTCAGACTGTCAACTAGTCTTTAAATGTCATCCCATAAACTGTATAAGCACACCATAGCAACCATATAGGGTGCCCTAGTAACCATACAAACACATGAATAAGCCATATCTCAACTCCACAATATCGTACCGACATGGTTGTTGGCTCGTATGCAATCATGTACAACAACCTAGCAACCGAGCGGCGAGTTTTGCCACTGCAAGCACCACTTCACATTTTCTTCTGGAAATGTACATTCTAGTTAGTGGTGCTTGCCTATGGCGAAGCAACACTATTGTTATCTCACATACTTATTAGTGGTGCTTGCCTATGGCAAAGCAACACTAGTGTTATTGTGCATACTTATTATTATTATTATTCTGGACACTTTTTGACGCGCTACTCCTCCCGCAGTTTTTGTCACAGACCCATGAATGAGGTGTCAAAACGTGCGGCCTGTTCGGGAATGGTGTGCTATGACTTTTATAAGGGATCGGGGGTACGATGTTCGCCCCAGGGGCGAAAAACCGGCCGAAAAATCCCATAGACTTAACATTGCGTCAAACTTTGACGAGTCGTAGCTCGGAACGAGGATGTCGCAGAAACGTGTAATTTACCACATTTGAAGAGGCTGACAGGCTCTGTAAGAATATACCACACAATGGGGTAAAAGTTGCACCCCTGTGGGGCAGGAGCTGCCCAAAGTTGCCCCATTGACTTACTATGGTGTAGGACGGCCCATGAAATGGGCCGTCCTACACCATAGAAACCGCTTTTATATTGAACATAACTCTGGATCACAGTGTCGTAGAGACAAGGGGGCGGGCTCATTTTACTCAGACGGCCAATCAGTCTCTCAGGATCATTGTGAAGCTATCAAGCCACGCCCTAGCAACCATTTAGAGCTCCTTAGCAACAAGTTCCATAGACTTCCATTGAAAGAGATCAAAGGGATATCTCAGGATATAAGTGTCATAGAAACATGAGGGTGGGCTCGTTTGACTCGGGCCAGCAAACAGCCAATCCTGAATCACCTCAACACTTACTGCCCACGCCCTAGCAACCATTGTCGAGCACCTTAGCAACCAAAATCCAAAAAGGGATATCTTCCATTCTGAATGTCACAAAGGCGTGGGAGTTGGTTTATATCATTCATACTGACAAGCAGCCTTTGGAGTTTCATGATAGGCAGCTGCCAAGCCACTCCCTAGCAACCAAACAGAGTACCCTAGCAACCATTTTGCAAGACCTATATCTCTGCATCAAAACATCGTATAGAGATGGGGGTTGGTTTATACATTCACATTGACTTTGGAGCTTCATGATTGGCAGCTGCCAAGCCACTCCCTAGCAACCAAACAGAGTACCCTAGCAACCATTTTGCAAGACCAATATCTCTGCATCAGAACATCGTATAGAGATGGGGGTTGGGTCTTTTGACTCATGCTGGCACACAGGACTTTCAACATGCTAAACATGCTAGCTGTGAATAGCTACATGCTAATATTGATTAGCTAAGTGCTAAATCATGCCATGAACATTATAAAAACTCTATAGTAACCAAATGTGAACACTACCAACCACCTAGTAACACCATAGCAACCATCCAGAATACCATAGCAACCACCTAAAACACCCTAGCAACCACCCAAAACACCCTAGCAACCGCCTAGCAACACCATAGCAACCACCCAGAATACCCTAGCAACCGCCTAGCAACACCCTGGCAACCACCCAGAATACCCTAGCAACCACCTAGCAACACCCTAGCAACCACCCAGAATACCCTAGCAACCACCTAGCAACACCCTAGCAACCACTCAGAACACCCTAGCAACCACCCAGAACACCCTAGCAACCGCCTAGCAACCACCCAAAACACCTTAGCAACCACCCAGAATACCCTAGCAACCGCATAGCAACAACATAGCAACCACCCAGAACCGCCTAGCAACACCCTAGCAACCACCCAGAACACCCTAGCAACCGCCTACTAACACCCTAGCAACCAACCAGAACACCCTAGCAACCCCCTAGCAACACCCTAGCAACCACCCAGAACACCCTAGCAACCGCCTAGCAACCACCCAGAATACCCTAGCAACCGCATAGCAACACCAT